TCGGTGCACATCTTGATATATATTTAATCTTAACTCACTTGGAGCACCATCCTTGTACTTCGATTATTTTCTTTACCTTTTGTACAACTAATTATTTGCTTTCTGTCATCTGGATAAAAAACGTGAATTGAATTGCTCTGGGTGATGGGGCTGGTTGCCAAATATATTAGTGCTATCTCACTCCAGCATTAGGTTTTTTTTTTAAAGCACACGAATTGAGCTCCTCACACGACTTTTTGAGCATGGGCATAATATAATTGTTTAAATCGAACTTGATAAAGTCAATTAATATGCCACCTAAAGAACGTTTCGGCAAGCAAGGAAAACACTCGTATCACCAATTGAAGTCCCCTAAACTGGCGTGGACTTCTTGAGTGACTAGAATATTTTAAAATACTGGATGGGAGAACATTAGTTCCTTCATGATATCAGGATGGTATCAAAGTGAGACTTCTCCGCTTTCGTGCATAATATAGGTAGATAAACAAAGGCTTTGGCTGTATGGAGGTATTGTCTATAAGTCGTCTTTAGTATGAGCTAAAACACCACTACTAATCAGTAAGTGCTTCTTTCACTTAAGATTCGTTTTGAGTGAATCCATGCTAAAAGACCAACTTCTTAGACATGTAAACAGACGCAAACCAAGAGCTTGAGAGAAAAAAAGGAAAAAGAGATCATTTGGAAAATGTTGAGTAGACTTGTATTTAATGGGGTCATTTAATGAGTGCTACTCGTTGTAATTCTCCAGCTTGAAGTAGTGAAATTGGACTTGAATTTATAATCCTGCATTAGATTGGATGTTCTTGACTTGAATGTCGTTCTAAACATTCTCGACTTTGAAAGTTCTGCTGAATATTTCCTCGATATTCTCAAATTCAAAACTCGCCATGAATTGAGCTATCTTTGTCATTCTGTATGACTTCATCAGATCATACACGCTGTTGAGATCCTGGCTTTTGGGTTTTGGTTGGTTACACTCGACACTGGTCAGTTTGAAAGTGCTGTATTTTCTCCAGGCCGGAACAACAACTTGGGCGATCCGATGAAATCTTCGAAATTTACTTTTGCATTAAAACAAGGACTGAATTGTGAACGTTCGACATTTGTTTGCTTCAGCACTTGGTCGCTCAAGAAGATATTGGTTTCCAAAGATGCTAAAATGACGACCTCTGCATGAAAAGTGGACAACCTCGAAGTTCTTAAATTGCTCGTGTGTACCTCAGACGAAGTTAGTGTATCAGTGTCACTTGGATTGCCCATACCGGTCCTGTGCTACTGGCAAGGTACAAGTGGACCCGTCTTGAAGGATGTGAATGCATGAGATACCCATCAAATAAGATAAAGGAATCGATGCTCGATCGACTGACTTGTGAACTGCTACCGGCGAGTTTTTTGTGCGATCGTCGCTACTCCTGATCCAAGAGCTCCTGCAACAATGGTGACCGTTGGGTCGTAAAAGTGAAGTCAATCTCAAGCAGTGCAGAGACGCCGTCAGTACGAATTGAAGAAACCCGAGCTTTTGGGTTACTTGCAGAACTTTGGCACGAGGCGGTCTAGATAGCTTCTTTGTCAGAAGAAGCAGTAGAAACAGAATAATGAACGAAAAAGTCTTGAGATGTACTGTCGGATCGATTAGGGAGACAGTTAGTAATAAACTAACGGTAGGGTTTTGAGCTTTTTGCTTCTGGAAATCTATCATCTTTCATTATGATCATGATACAGACATATCTTTATCATAATGACAGAGAGTGGATAGAAGCAGGGACAAGCTCCGCTTGTCTACACTATCCTTGTTTGCCTCGACTTTAAAGCTTTCACAGCTTTGCCTTCTATCTACGTAAAGGGGGCCGGGCCAAGTCGATGGGGAAAAAGTTGGGAAAACCTCCATAGATAAGGGGATTGTCCCGCAATAATTTACCACTTACTTTTTCCACTTAGCTAATGTTGAGACCCCACATCCATGTCGATGCATCCGTCCCAAACTGATGATATATTTCTCATGCTTATCAATGACTAGCACATGAGAACGGTTGGGTTGGCGAATTCTACGAGATGGAGGTGTCAAATAATTTGTAAAAGTGATGCTGCTGCAAATGGGACGGATTCACGTGTTTGAAGTGAGGTATTCCCTTTCAGTCCAGACTTGCTGCCTTTTATGACAGTGGTAAAATTTGGGTATCGTAAATAGATCCTGACATCGCTGCTCTGATGATTGTTTTTTGCATGGTTGGTTACATCCTACGATATCGAAGGTGTGCAATTGATCATCTCATGAAACAGTTGTTTTACAACTTGTTCCAGGAAGAGCCCAGGTCCTTTAACCATCCTAGTGTACTTTCATGCATAAGAAAGAGTAAACTAAAGCTGACAATCGAAAGAAGGATACATGCCAAAAGAATGAGAAGACCTTCATCCAAAAATATTTGCATAAAAAAATTCGCACTAGCTCGAGAGGAATTTAGTTTCTTATGGCATTCTAGTACAATCTTCCCTGTCCACCTTGTCACAATGATTTGTAGCAAACCTTTATGAAACTTTCGTTATCAACTCATCACTTATGTCTATTTTTCAGAGCAACTCGCTACACCGTATGAGCTTGTCGAATTACTTGAGCGACAGTACTGATAGTATTTGACACGCATTATCGTTCCCTGACAACAGTTTGACTTTCCCTTTCTCAATAGTAGTCTGGAATGACAATTTGCACCTTATTACATCAAACAGCCTCGAAAGGCATGCTATTACGAAGTTATCAGTAGGAGGAGTGAACTGGATGCACTGACAGTCAATGTAGCCGATTGATGTCCGTGTGTCACATATATTCATTGTGAAACCCACAACCTGATCGTAGGGTGCATCTCAGGTTACTATTGCACATACTTTTCTGAAGATCGCATTGTTCGTAATACCTCGCAGCTCAATTTTCTCGAAGTAAGCGACGACCGCGCACAGAGACATTGCTGCTTGCGTAATGCGAGTGACATGGCAGGAAATCAAGCAGAACAGGGAAGCTGAGCTCATACACAAGATCCTCCTCACGAAACGAAGAAGTTGTTTTAGTTTCATGCTCAGGGTTTATTCCCCACAGCTGTTTCCCTTTACTTCACTTGTCGAAAGTATCACAACATGCAGTTCTCTATTGTGTAGCAGTGTTGAAATACTGGTCACTTGTACATGCGATCTGGTCTGATCATTAGCGCGTCTCGGCATCTGCTCTTGCTTTTGCATTGATGTATTCTCATGGTCCCACCGTCTCGTCCCAGACTCTAGTGTCACGATGTGCCTGCCACCGATTTCTACTTTCTACGACGATCAACTTCCATTGTCACATACGGTTTTAATCTTTGAATACTCTTCCATTTTGTCGCAGCACAATCGAACACCGGCACTCGGGCGGTCCCAACGATACATTCGAATTTAGAGCTATCTACCCGCGACCAGGAGTGCCTACATGGTGGAGCTATGCGTGAATCCAGTCCTTCTCGGTGTTTGGTGAATATTCATCGCAACGAACGCAGAGTACACCTATTTCTGCTTTTATTGATTTCAAATTCATTGTTCTTTCTGCGTGGACCTTGTGATAGAAGCTATCAAAATCACCTTTTGTTCAAGTAAAAGACTTGGTCATAACATCTTGATATTTGACAGCAAGTAGGTTATAGAAATAGGAATCTGAACCTGGTTGTTGATGCAAAGTTTCAAAATCACCATGGCCAGGCATACGCAGTATCAAGGACCCTCTCAGACAAGGTGTAAAGTACGAATTGAGCTGTGTCATAGGCTCCTAGTTTGAGTGGATGAATCCTTAAGAGACTTTGAGAATCTCACCTCAGTTCTGCATGAGGTTCTATTTCACTCTTGTATACACATGTTACAAAGATACGCCTTCTGTCAATGGCATAAGGAGAGAAATGAAAAGAAATGCTCTCGTTTCAGACTCTTCTCTCGGAGGAAGAATGAGCTCAATTCTGAAGGGCTATGGGAGGGTGAACTCTCATTACGACATCTCATAAGAAGCTTACAATACATCAGAATCCATTTCTGATGTTTGCACGTAACTTGTTGCATCGCATGACACAGCCTTACGACGACCAGAAAGCCCACATTCTGCATGGGCTTTTCCAAAACAGAGTGATGGATTAGATGTCATCGAGCGGATGTCATCTCGCATAGAGCAAACGCATGATGCGCAGGTTGTCGGAAACGACAGGGAGGAAATGTTTTCCCAAGGAGGGACGGATCTTAACCAAGTTCTGGCTTGAAGATGCCATTTAAAGGCTGAAAAGTACGTTCGTGATGTGTCGTCCAACGAATCAAATATAAGACACCAAAATGGACACGAAGCTTACCACCGAATCATGCGCTTTGTTTTATGACTGTAGTACGCAATTCTAAACATATATTCTTCCGGTTTTGTGATCCGACAATCTGTGTTGAGTGCGGTCAACAAAGGTTTCACATCAAGGACAGACCAACAGTTTGTGAAACTGAAGAACAAGACGAGATGTCTGACAGATCACCCTGACGAGACAGCGGACAATTTCTTCGTACTTTTTCCTAATCAATCTCAAATGCTTTATTCTCAAAACCTCGACTCCATTGCCAGAAATAGTGAATTGCTAGAATCCTTAGCGAGGATGCGATGAAATCTCTCTATCAGTGTGATCATTGGTGGGATTGTGAGGTTGGGACTTCAGGAGGAAGGAAGAGGGTCTGTAAATATGTATGAAACAAGTACGGTGATCCTACTTCTTCGTGAAAATGCCAAATTCAAGGCATTTAATCCATGCCAGTGCGACCCTCAAGGTCTTTGCGGACAAGTCATGATCGACAATATTTTATCGCACAGGGCACCAAACTACTTCGTACAGTAGAAGTATGTGTTTGTTTTTCGCACTGATTAGAGTACACATGATAACTTGCTTTAGACTTATGATAATGGTGTATGACTTGACTTGAGTGGAAGAACTCGTCCAATAACTTGGACGTCTGTTTTCGATATCACCACCTTACCGACATATCTGTCCGAAACTGTATAATATATATAGTAACTTGAGTTAAACAGTTCCGTGTGCTTAAAATCAACCGAAAACTTTCCACTCGAGGAATAATTCTCAGCACGCCGACACCATGGGCAGTACCCACAGCTTATGGATCCACTTGAAACATTAAGGCTGCTCATGAACTCTCGATTCGAACATCATATTTCCAACGTCAAGGTCGCTGCACTACCCTCCACCGACGAGAGCTGGATTATTCCTACTTCAATTGTACGCTGTACTGAAATATAATTTACATGTATTTCATCCAATGCTTGAATACAAAGTCCACTTTTGTACGAAGGGTACAAAGGAGCTCTTCACCTAAGAAGCTGGCAACTCCAAGTGGTAACCAGCTTCTTCACTGGCGCGTAATGAATCTGCACCTAACTGCATTTTCATTCAGATAAAACTCACGATGGACAAAATTCGACAGTCCCCTTCCCGTGCTGAAGAAGAGGCTTCCAATAAAGAGCGCTCGTACATGCTTGCTTACATACGATCGCTCCAGATGAAAAGGTGTGGTGGCTCACAATCTCCGGATTCCAAAGGAAATTGAAGAGATCAGCTGCTGCTGTAATAGCATCTTTGCTATTACAGAGAGAAGCTAATACTGTGAGTTTCCTGCAGATCTCGAGTGAGTTGATCAAAACTTTCTTGAGGATGTTAGTTGTCTTCCGGAGTGCTACGAACCAGCTTCCTGCGCTCATTAGCAGCTTCAGCAGCTTGTCGTAACTGCTTCGCAACCTTTGGCCCAGCTTGAGCAACCATGTTCGCGAACACATGGTCCACTCGTGATGTGGTAGTGTCGGAGAAATCCACCTCCTCTGCACATATTCAGGTTTTGTTAAGGGCAGGATCTAGTGACCACTAGTGAGGAACAATGGAAAACGAAACGACTCCAAATTGCCAACGATTATAATCGACAAAGGCTGCGAGGGTTGCAAAGGCTGGATACCTGCACGTCGAAGCAGATTTGCTGGAGAGTCAAACTCACTAATACGGCCCCCTTTGGCGAGTATCAAAACACGATCACAGTCGATAATCGTGTCAATCCTGTGAGCTATTGTTAAGACCGTGCAGTCATGGAACACACTACGCATGGTTCTCTGAATCAATTGATCGGTTTCTCCATCGACAGCAGCTGTGGCTTCGTCCATCACCACAATCTTGGACCTGAGTGAACATGCAGGAACTGAAGCTGAGTGCAGATTCAAGAAAACAAGAAACAGCAGTTGCAGATTTGAAGAATGCCTAATTCATTGATATAAGTATTATAAAGATGAACAGATATCAGCATTGATCGCTGAGTTTGTTCCTTCTTACTTTCTCAGGAGGGACCTTGCCAGACAAAGGAGTTGTCTCTGTCCTACACTGAAATTGTCTCCATTCTCTTGAACTTCGCTTGTGAGGCCTCCCTTCAGACTTTTGATTTTAGCGGTCATTTCTACTTTGCTCAACGCTTCGTGTAACTCAGCATCGGTGTGCATCTCGAAGGGATCGAGATTGAACCGGATGGTTCCTTGGAATAGAACCGGATCCTTCGACAAAGATACACACATACGAAGTACATACATGAGATTATATTGTTCTTGAGGCGTTCTAACTTCAAAGAACTAACCCTCCAAGCATCGTACTCTTACAAACTTCTCCTCGATGGGCAGGATTGAGATTCAGAATTGAAGTTATATACTGATAACCGGCAGATATTTTGCAAACAAGAAATTCAAATGGACATACTTGAGGAATGATAGATAGTCGCTGGCGCAGATCATCGAGGCCCACCAATTTCAAGTCTACATTATCTACCAAAATAGTTCCACTACATGCCGCATTCTCGACCATTCGAAACAGAGCAGCTGCAAGGCTGGATTTTCCCGCTCCTGTTCTTCCTAAGATGCCTACCTTCTCTTGAGAAAATATCTGCAAAGAAGTGAGGAAAGCATAGCGCTTAGCCATCTAACGCGGGAGAGATTACAGATAACACTGAAGTACAGAGGGAAATTCAAGATTGACTGAAATGACAGGACTCAGAGACAGTATAACCAGGTTCAGATTGCCTATAGGCAGGGCAAGTTGTATGCAGATCACCTTAAATGAGAGCTTGTTCAAAACAGCTGGAAGATCTGTCCTGTAGGCCAAGGTGTATTCGACAAATTCCACTTCACCCTTCTCGGGCCATTGATCTGAGATCAGTCCAGGAGGGGAATTGGGATCAGCCTCAGAAGGAAGATTTCCATAAGCTTGGATCCTTTCGACGCTAGTAAAGATGTTCTCCGTATCGGCCACCAAGCGCACACCGTACTGGAAGAAACCCGTGAGCTGGAGACTTTGGATCAAAACAACACCTGCAAGAGGCATTTAGCGTTTCAGTGGAGGCAGCTGTGGGTCAACTTCAGAGCTCCAAACATTTCGTTTTTTCTTCCTTCCAAGGAAATCTAAAGAGCATTTCGTTACACTGGTTTGGCAAGCAGTGAGTACCAAGTAATCCGGGGGAAATTTTGTGTCGCAACAGAACAGCTAGGAGAGCTGTAACTGTTACACACACAGCAGCGCAGTAGTCAAGACGGACTCCGAGCCACCTTGAGGTGTGCACAAACAGAATATATGCTCGATGGTTGGCATCCATCAAGTCTCGAAAGTGGTCAAGCATGGCTGCCTCCATGTTGTACGCTCGCACTGAGGCTATTCCCTGCCAAGGACCATACTCATCAATCATCGCGAAACAGGAATGCTAGCAGTACTTCCATTGAGGTAGCATGCGAACGAGCACCAAACTTTGATCTTTCAACGATCGTGGTATAACATCCTATATTACATGTACAGCGAAATCAAGGCGCATAGATTATAGAAGCGCAGTACAAGGTAGTTGCTGCAGAAGATAATGACCGGAGGCACTCTCTTGAACCTCACCTGAAGGGTCTGTGAAAAGTGCGCATAAGTAGGTGACCGAGAAATTCCATCCAAACGTCTCAGCTCACGGGAGACTGCAACATACTTCTGTTGGCAGTAGTAAAATGCCAGGACGAATGGTGGCAAGACTAGCAAAAACCAAGGGATGATGACAGCGATGAATATCATCACCCCAAGAACGGCCACCAAGTTCTCGAACATTGACTGCAATAAGAAAATTGGACTGTTAGATATGGTACCGTCCAACGCCCGGATGTCCTGTCTTGAGCTCCAATCTCGCAGACAAACATCTCGCATCATATAAATCGATGAAAGTTCAAAAATGCTGTCACGCATCTTCCTAGACCGACAGCGACAGGACTCTCACTACACCTAAAAACGGGTCCATTCACCTACTTCCCAGGTCTGTAAACTTGTGGACAATAGAACTCTTGTTGCCAGAGGAATGTACAGGTGCGTAGCGCTTGTATATGATTCTGAATGTGACGGATGGTGTCAACTAGAGAGCGAAGGATTCGTTGGTATGTCTCTGGAGAAATACCTGCGCAGTGTTGGGCAAAATTTCGTCTACCATTGCCTGGTCTTTTCCAAATCTGTTCAATATCCGACCGACAGGATTCTGCATGCATCCGATTACAAGTATGAGGTTCGTGTAGATACGAAATTCAGCAGAGTCGATGACAAAACGAAGAGTAAACTTTGCCACATCATCTGTTTTCAAAAGAGAGGAAGGAGCACACACAAACCTGGTCAAAAAATGTCTGCGGAGAACGGATGACCTTCTCAGTCATGTTCCCGTGCATAGATTGGGCTGATCGGATTGCGGCTTCAGTGAAGAGCATTGCACGAGCAAGACAGAGAATACAGGATCCCAGAACCAGGATTCCATAGCTCATCAGATAGATGTTACTTGACGTATTCAGCTTATCACTCACCCATACACTAATCCAATAATCCACGATTACACGCACTGCCTGTGCGAAACACATCAAGAATAGCACAAACGTAAAGAAAATGAGTCCGCCTCCTCTGGCGTAGTCAGCATAGCTTTTCCATGTAACTTCGCCCTCAACTCTGTCCTCTTTTACAGTCAAAGATCCAACTGCTTCTGATGTTGCACCTTGGGGGCTGACAGTATCGACCAGTACACCTTCTTGCCTTGCTGATCCACTCTTCCTCGAAGAACCTTTCCTAGACTCACTTTTAACCAGATAATCCATGCCTTTGGTTTCTGGCATTCCATTGAGAGGCATTGTTGATGCTTGGTGATTTGAGGTGAGGCCAGCCTTAGGGGACTCGGGTTGTGGAATTGTTTGTGGAACCCCATCTTCATGATCAGCTGTACCAGTCTTTCCACTTTCCGAAGCACCAAATGCTTCAGCTTTAACACTGATGTCAATATCAGCATCCTCATCAGCTTCTTCCCCAGACTCATCTGCCAATTCCTGTAGGAGGCCCTTTTCGGCCACATCCGCTCTGGATTCGAGCTCTATCAATCTTCCTTCCTCCATCATAAATATTCGATCCACGAGCTCAAGCGATGAAATATTATGGGTAACCAAGATCACCGTGCGACCTTTCAAAATGCCATTTAAAACGTGCTTCATCAAATGTTTGGCCGTGGGAACATCAACTGCCGCCAGCGGATCATCTAGAAGTACAACCGGAGACTGGCTATAGCAGGCTCGCGCGAGACTGATTCTAGCCTTCTGGCCTCCACTGAGATTGACTCCCCTTTCACCCTGCACATTGAGCGCCCATCAGATTCTCCGGACTGACATGAATAATAGAACTGTTATCACACCATGAAGGGAATGACCGATGGCTACGTCTCATCCAATTACCTGGCTTATGTGAGATTTACAGCTGGATACAATACTGAAGCTTCAGAAGAATCAACACGTTGCCGAAGCACAGTGGTCAGAAAGAACTTCAAACCAGACATTTGGAGCTCAGCGGAACATCTGACTTACGGAAGTATTTAGAAACTTACAATCTCAGTATCATCACCAGCCGGTAATTGTGCCATGTCGTGTTCGAGGGCGCAGGCAAATACGACCTTCTTGTAGAGATCCTCGTCGTAAAAGTTTGAAGTGACGATATTGTTCCTGACTGTGTCGTTCAATATCCAAGGCTGCTGTGGGGCATAAGACACCATCTTCTCCGTCCAGAATGATCCTTTCACGGCCTGCACAAGAATTCATGAAGGCCAGCATTGTTATACCCTTGCACATGCGCTGCGCGATGACAAAGCTTTTCGAAGTCTAGTGTAGAGATCAAAGCAGCACGTGTATAAAGCTTTATACGGTAAGAAATACATTTCATTATACCTCCATCTCTCCGAGCAGTGCACAGAGGAGGGAGCTTTTTCCACTCCCCACGGACCCAATCACTGCAATTAGCTCCCCCTTTTTCACAGCCAGGTTGATATTCCTCAACTGGGCTAACGAATGATTCTCCTTCGCGTCTATCATATCGTCAACCTGATCCAGATCCTTGCTTACTGGTTTTTTCACTTCATCAGAGGCCTTAGCAAGGCTGGGGTCACTGTGTACTTCTTGTTGTTTGTTCTGAGATACTCCTGGGGCTACTGTGCTATCCTCGAAGTCTTTTTCCTTGAGATACCAAGCAAACGTGCCCTGGGAAATGATCACAGCTGCCTCTGGATATAACTTTCTCAGCTGAAACACAAAGGTCATCCTGTTAACCCGTAAGCTTGAGAATCATGTCTACACTAACTTATATCGACTCACCGAGTAAGTCCGCTATGGAAATTCATTAGAGTCTTTCCATAAACTTTGAGGGACGGGCCGATCAGTGTCACTATCTTCACAGATTACGACTACAATACCTGCGCTACTAAGCAGGAGGCCATACAAATCAGTTTGAGACAACATGAACCAAAGCTTATTGATACCTGCGCTGCCTGCTCCTCAGAACTATGCCCATGACCGTAGGGTAAATCAAGAAGCCTCTGTAGTCTTTGAAGTCCAATGTATGCCTCAAAACCGTATTGCACGCCTTTCAACGATAACCACACATTGTCAGTTCGAAACTTGTGGCTAAATAGCAACAGTGGGCTCAGCACTGGTGTCAAAATGAACCAAGAGCTCAATACATCTTTGCAAACTTCCACAGCTTTGAAAAAGTTAATTTCTCTAACAAGTTCTGCCGTTTTATAGAGAAGTGGAGAGTCAGTACCTATTGGAGCGATGGAGTAAATTCGCACCAAAATACCATACAGACCCAAGATTGTAAATGCTTTGCTCGCACTGAGTATCCCGTCATTGGTGGCCACATAAGTTCCAAAGGTGACAAGAGCAGCCACTGGAGATATCAAGTCCTGCGGAAAGCGAGCAACATGCGCGTTTGGTACCGGTAATCAACTGAAAGATATACAGATCTAAATGCCGATGGTGAAAGCTTTCCTTCCGGAGGAAGTGCAAGATTAAAACAAGAAAACTACACGAACTAGAAACTCTAGTTGGACAGAACGTGAATTATGGATGGAATGTCAACCAAAAGGCGGACGAATCCTTATTGCCATTCTTCTCTCGCAGGCAAGCAGATATGACAATGAGTATTAAAGTCGACGTTCGAACTCGGGCTACTCGTATGTGCCTGTGAATAACCTGGAGACCATAGCGCTCTGGCTGAGCGGTGCTAATGTGTTGATAAATACAAACATAATGAGAAACATGCAGTCTGATGGCTCCTAGAATCGGATTGCTTACGAACTTGAACAAATTCATTCTTTCAGAACTTCATCAGATCATCGGAACACATCTTTCCCTTACTCAAAGGTGATACAAAAGTATTTATTACCTTGAACGTCGATGTGGAAGCTCGTAACATGGCAGCTTTACGAATCCAACGCAGCTCCATTGATCTAATACTTGATATTCTTTTGAGAAAAGCCGTCGTCCAGCCGTTGTATTTGACTACTCTAACGCCAGTAAGAATCTCGGCTATCATTCGGACCCTGACATCCGTGAGCTTTACTGCATGCTTTCTCATTCGCCCCACAGCTCGAGCAATGGACATCTGTGTCGATAAAATAACACCAAGTAAGTAATCAGGTCTTCGACCTTTTAAAGCATGCCAAGATAAGCAGGTCTCCTCATTGATTGAACATTGACTTTCTCCTTTGCATTCATCTCTGGCGTACTAAATTTTCTGCTTGAACCTTGTCTCCATGTAACAGAATTTTTTCTTGACTTCTTTCCCAGAGCAGAACCATTTAGTGTCAGTAGAGATAAAACAAAACATGTAGTGAAAACTGTTACTACGAGTTTGAACCTCTTCATTTTCTCCAAGATCTAAAACAGCACATAGGGCAAGGCTTCAAATCTGTACCCTGTAAATCTATATCATTTATATCAAATACAATATAGGTATCATGATAACTATTCCTTCTGGAATTTCACAGTACGTAGTCCAAGCCACTTGAATAGGAACTTGATATAGTGCAGCTTAAAGACTAGCGTGAAGTCTATACACCAGCAAATACAGAAGAAGTTCATACCTGTGCTGGCAAAGCCAAGATGATGACCAGAACTCCAGGTAAAGCTGAGTATCCAACCAAGCCGAGGGCTATTCCGGCCACAACTAGAGAGTTGATGACTGCAAAACATGCTGTAATTCCAGGAGAATTCTCAGTTATTCTTAGGACAATGGATACCCTAAATTGGAAGCAGTCATACTACTTCGAAAGATAGTAAAAAATTCTAGCTGAGTAACTGCTCTAAGACAATCTTCAGGATTGAGGACATTCATTATACTGGACTCTCACTTTGGGAAAGTTTCCCACGGAAACTTTCGACGTCTAGCCTCTCTACGCAGGACTATTAATGGTCTGATAAGCAAGAAAGAATACACTGAACACTCATTGAGAACTAACTCAATTTACAAATACTTACTATAGGATAGAAATGTGCTCCCATCAATTAATTTTTGAGTGTCATTTGTGACGAGGTTGAGCATCAATCCACTGCTCGTCCCGGCCAAGGCCACCATCCTCAGTTTCATCAACTGCCAGTCACATTCATCACAACATATCAAGTCCTTGAATCATGCACTAAGTTCATTTCCAATCAATCGAGAAAGCAATTTCTAGATCTTGGTAACTCGCGCTGAATTCAGTCTGCAGTTGGGGAGAATTCAACTATACCTTGTTGAAGACAGCCATGGAGATGGCGGCCTTGACCCTCATTCCAGACTTTTGGCCATAAGTGAACAGCCAGTGCTGACATACACTCTGAACGTTTGAAGTCAATAGCATGCCAAGCACCAGCATCGCACCCTTCCATGGTTGTAGCTTTTGGTGAAGGTTTTCCGCCTCCGTCACCAGCTCTTTCAGCACGAAAACCTGCCCAAATCGACGTCAGGGCAGTAAGTAGACGAATAGACTGAATATCATCTCGGCAGATTGGAGACTCGGTACAATAAAACGAAGAGCTCCCTGGAATAGATGGAGGGGCCAAATTGAAAGGAGCTGGATTGACTCGTATGACAGGAATTGCAGCAAAAGCACAGCTGAGCTTTTCCTGAGATTCAGGCCGAGCGGCTGAGAGATACGTACCTGGGCTACGACAGCCACTAACCAAAAGGGACACAAGACGAAAGACCATATCAATTCTCGTCCTGAGGTCTGCAGTGCAAGCTTGAACACGTTGATCTTGTCCTTCTTCTCCAACTGCTTGCGAGCATATTTCTCCCACATGCGCTCGCCGAATTCCGAAGTTTCTCGAGGAATCAAGTCGTACAAGTCTTCGGGCTGCCATGCAGAAAATCAGCACGTGCACATCTCAGAAAGCATACGCTGCACAATATAAAACGGCGGCGCGAACCGGAAACAACACGGACCAACGAAATCCGCAGCTGGACCTGCGCACTGCTGCTGCCCTCAGGCGACGAGCATACCTGAAGAATTTTCTCATTCCCTTTGTTGATGAACGGCTGCACGAAGTGCCAGCTGAAGAATGAGAAAAAATTCGCCTTCAGCTCCGGGCTCGGGCCAGCCGTGAGGCCCTGCGACTTGTAGCGCAGTTCATTCTTCGCCATAATGTCGCGCAGGCGCGCGCGAGCGAGCGTGAAGCTCCTCGATGCTGCACACCACCACGCACGGTCAACGCCCTCGATTCCTGTCGACTGATTTCTACGTCGCAGCAGGGGCAGCGGCAGCGGCAGCAGCAGCAGCAGCAGCAGCGACGAAGGACAGCATCCCCGGCCCGGCTCTTGTAAGGACGCTAATTTTAGGCCGGGCTCAGCGATGAGAGGGCCGCAACAACAAGTGGACTCTGCGGTGCCCCATCATCAGGGCGACTGTTGCTCGCCTAGAGCAACAGTCAACTCTTCGCGTCCAGAGAACGCAGCCCGAACTGCCTCCAGCTCTCGGGGCCTCTGCCTGACTGACACCTTGAAAGTCCCCCGGGTCCCGTGTTCTGATTGCTCGCGCAATTCCCGTGTCTGGCTATGAATTTCCTACTTTTGCTTGCGGCCGCTCGCCCGCTCACATTTCCACCCCCAGGGGCATCTGCCAAAAGGCAAATTCTGCGAGTCAGCGCCCTCCCTCATGAACCTCTCGCAGAGATCCAGAGATCCAGTGCGGAATCGATCGGGGTCGCTCGGCGAGACGATGAACCGAGCGACGAGCTGCAGCGGAGCCCCAGACTCTGGCCGACGAGTCTGGGCCGATCGGGCAGTCGGAGGACGAACTTCCGATAGAGATCTCAGCAGCAGCAGCAGCAGCGGCATTTGTAGCCTCGGGAAGCTTGACCAGCTCGCGGCTCTTCTGGAGGAGCTCGGACAGATGTGTCTGCGGCATCTGGGGACGAGTCTACTCTCGCGCTACTGAACCACCACTCGAGCTCTCTGGATCTCCTCCATCAGTCAGTGCATCTCATGCGTGAGTCAACGGGAGACGTCTGAAGGTGTCGGCAGAGATCGCGCATCAGAAGCGAGAGCGAGAGAGAGGATCAGATTCCTCCGTGAGCTGGACTTCGATCTAGAAGCAGCAGCAGTGACGGTGATCGCTCAACGCTCGAGCTCTCCGAAGTGCTAGGCAGTCGGTGGGTGTGTCCATGTGAGAGAGCCTGATCCGAGTGGGGCAACAAACTTCGCTATCAGCATAATATCTGCAACTAGATTCCTGCCAGTGGCGTTTCTCGCCATCGTTTCCGATCCATCGAAGGGGGACCCTCTCGAATTTCTGAGAATTTAATAGCTCCACGTCTGGGCTGGGCCCCTGGGCCGTGGGTCACTGTAACGCCGGTCTTGCATGAAGCAGGTCTCGAAGCTTGCATGGGCTGCCGATCTCGAGTCCCCACAACATGGCTCCGCTCAAGCCTACGACTGTGGCTTCTGAGGAACGCCGGCCGCCACGTTCAGGGCCTTCACCGAGCTCGGTCTGGAATGTTGACTTCCGGTTTCACCTGAGGACGAGTGCTGCGGTATCAGGATTGAGTAGATTTCGAGTATCCGATTGTTGTTCGCCTCGTCTGCCCAGTGTCGGCTGGCTGGCGTGGTGGCCAGCGTCAGAACGAAAGATGTGATTGCTTTCGGCTCGATCGTTACTGGAGAAAATGGTATTTTGTGCATGGGCATCGGAGTCTGAGCGAATCACTTGCGAAGATTGCGCACGTGCACAAATGGCCATGCGTCGATGCTTCGTTGCTCAGTTCACAAGCCCTCCATACCTCTTATCACAATTACAAGAATCCCATCGGCGTGCCTATATTTACCACACGGGACTTCATTCCATATTTCACAGAACTTTGACATTCGTTATCGATATAGAACATCGCTCGCATGAGTCGCAGAGCAACTACTAGCCAAGCCCCGGACTCGTTTGGCGTTCGAGCCTGTCGCGGCAAGAACACTCGAATTTCGGTTGTACGAGCAGATTGTACTCGCCAGACGTACGTAAAATGAGTGCGTTGCCACCTGAACCCTGTCCCCAACTCATTTTAGAAAGTATCAAAATTCAGTCAACACATGACTGACAGTGGTAGCTGTACAGTTTTCAAAATCGCTCTTTCATAATGGACATGCGTCGATGCTTCGTCGCTCAGTTCACAAGCCCTCCATTCCTCTCATCATAATTACAAGAATCCAATCGGCGTACCATTATTCTTCCACACGGGACTTCATTCATTATTTCACAGAACTCGGACATTCGTTATCGATATAAAAAATCGCTCGCATGAGTCGCAGAGCAACTACTAGCCAAGCCCCGGACTCGTTTGGCATTCGAGCCAGTCGCGGCAAGAACACTCGAATTTCGGTAGCACGAGCAGACTGTACTCTCGAGACGTATATGAAAAGGAAGTGGATTGAGTACAAAGAATGCGTAGCCAGCTGAGCCCTGTCCCCGCTGATCGAGATAGTATGAAATTTGAGTCAACACCTCACTGACAGCAGCAACTGTGTCAGCATCTTTCCAAATCCCTTGAACCTCGAGGATGAGCAGTGTTTGTCACTGTCGTGAACAGTCTCCGAGGAGAGGACGCCAGTATCAAGACACTGGCGGCCTCAAGCGGTCGAACCTCTTGTCGTCAACACAGCTTCGTTGGAGTTCACGCAGTGACATTGTGAGGCCGACGAGCCCGCTCGACAACTAACTGATTCGGGGTTCTTTCTTCTACGCTAACGTTCGGTCGTCACCGGGGAGATTCATCCAACGGCTGATATTGCTTTGCTGGTGTTCAACTAACTACCACCAAACTCTTCCACGTGAGCTCTTCTGTGAGGCAGACTTCAGTAGGGAACTTCGTTCGCACGGCGGACTACAGTTAGGCCCTTAAATCGTAAGGTGGACTACAGTAAGGTACTTCCATCGTAGGGCGGACTAAAAATAAGGTCCTTCCATTGTAAAGCAGACTACAGTGAGCTACTTACAGGTTTTGGATTTACGTGGTACACTCTACGGTCAATGATGCTACTTAAGCGAACGGCCAGTCCAGAAGTAAAAACAGAAGGCAAGTACTGTGTTGGCTTTTTGCCTTTTGGCAGACGCGAAAGCATCCCTAAACCCGTCTCTTCTTGTTCTTCTTTCTTGAGGTGTTAACTGCTTGCTTTAGGTGTTTGTTTGTTGACTAACCATGAAACTATGAAATAGCGAAAAAAAAAAAAGGAAATATCTGAAATCCAAGATGGAACCATATACCGAACATAAGGTTATAAGCATCCAAGATATCCAAAGTATCTAAGTCAAAAGATCTACGAGCAATGAAAGTATCAACGGACGTGATTTTTTTATGCATGTGTTCTATGATTAGCATTGAATAATGTTGGTTCACACCATATATTCCACCATATACTAAAAAGTTCACCCAAGATTATATAATTTTCATGAACTTTTTTCACAAACATGTCACGACAAGCATCCATGACTTTATATCACTCCAAGATTTTATTTAGATATGTGTTCATGTAAAATATCAAAAATTTCATAATTCTACATGAAATAATCTTCATTCTTCCGACTTCACTCATTGACTAAGGTTTATGATTTTCTATCTAGAATTCATGTAGGCCAAAAAAACAACGAATTAGTTTTTAAAAGTAAATAAATCTAATAATGGAGATTCTTATATCATTATTGTTTTAAATTCAGTTTTTTTACTATAATTTGAAAGTTATGCCAAATAATTTAAATATATCATCATTTGATATGTCTTTCATGAAATTATTAACAATTTGTATTAGATGATATAAAAGATGACTTAAGGAAATTGCTACATTTTAGAAATTGTATTTTTCAATGATTTAGCTGATTTATGAATTTATTATAATTTATCATTATATTATATTAATTTTTAATAATATTATCATATATGTTAGATTACTTCAAACGTAAAAAGATTTAGATTCGAGAGTTATTGGTTAAATAATGGGAGCTTTTAGTTTTAACTCAGTATGCCTTAAAACCTTGCATTAACCTAAGACAGAAATATAATGTTTCATAAATGACATTTATACAAAACATTAATCTTTTTTCCCTCATCAATGCATAAAACTTTATCATGTAGATTATATCTAACCATCAATATACTGTTAACTAAACAAATATATTTTTTTAAGTAATTTTATTATTTTTTTAATAGTTTTTCCAATCAATCTTAAAGAACAGAAATTTCTCACAATCATTCATTGTTTCTTTAGTGAATGGATGATACATATTTAACATGGTCCAACTATCAACAAACATTCAGGATATTTATTTTTGTTTTTATGAAATACATAGATTATTAATATGACAATTAAAAGTAATTATATATATTATACATTTTCGTTATTTTAATGTTTTACATTTTCTTTCATGTTCAAATTTTGTTCTATTCATCATAGATGTAACTTGAGACTCTAAATACTGTTCTATTCATTATATATATGTTCTATTTACACTTTAGAATTGCATTGTTACATATTCTTTGAAAAACAGCAGACTTTCAGGAAAATGTTTTATGTTAGGCGCGTACTTCTCGTAGATGAAGAAATTAAATTTTCATTGACAGTTGAGATAAAATATTCAAATCTGTTTCAAAAAACCAATCACCGCATTTTCTTCACTTATTCACCACATTAATTCAATAAACAATATCGTATCGGAGGTGCTAGCAAGCAATGTCAATAACTATTCTTTTCACAAATGCAGCAATAAATGAATTATCCACTCAGATAAGAACAGTATTTCCTCCACAGCTTTCACTGATACAAGAAACATAAAGATAACCTGCAACTAATACCGATTATAAATGCATTTTTTATATCAGTCAAAACTTTGTTGGTAAACACAGTTCTTATCTGGAGTTTAGACATCCAACTGCCAACGCCACATTTAGATCTATTTTAAGCACAAACTTCAAGAATCAGCTTCGCCACTTTCGCTGAACTGGCTGGATTTTGACCAGTTACAAGCTTTCCGTCTTTGACGGCGAATGGTTGCTGCACACACCAAGCTCACACATTAGCTTACAAAACTTTTAGCTTAAATTCACTAAAACGAGACCAAGAGACCGAACCCAAAGTGAAATTGTGTCCTCCGCTTACCCAATCACCAGTTTTCTCGAATTTACCGCCGAGCTCAATCAGTCTACTTTCCAGCAGAAAAGGTACTTTATCAGTTTTCCCAACAGCTTCTTCTTCAGAGTTGGTAAAGCCCGTAACCTGAAAAACATTGGAGCATAACAGACTTATGTCAAAAGGAATAAACCGTCCAATGTAAATAAAAACGACTGCAAAAGATATGTCGGCACTGTGACAGTTTAAATCCGTCGCATCTGACTGTGACTTAACCAAATTCAAATATCCAGATTCGAAAACGTCGCATACCGTTCTATCTTTTACAATCGGGTTGCCACTTGGATCTTTCACTTCCACAAGTCCACAAGGACCATGGCAAACAGCACCGACAACCTTATTTGCCGCCCAGAAACTTTCCAATAGACTGATGCAGGTTTTGTCTGAGGCGACATCAAAACAAACTCCATGGCCACCTGCCAAGAGGAAAAGTTATTATTTGTCTTGTCAGTTCACAACAAGAATGTTTAAATTAAGACACTCAATAATCTAACTTGATCGAAACATGGAACATCCAAAACCAACCTGGCACAAATATGGCATCGTAGGATTGAGCTGCATCTTTGAACTCGCTCACGGGTTTCGTATTTTCGACTAAACTCCTCAAACTGTCTGCACAGCGCATCCTAACAAGTGTGATTAACAAACGTTTTCGTCTTCCACGCTTGAGAAAGATATATATTATGAACGGACGGAAAAGAATCAGTGAGAGCTATAAGTCCATGACCTATGATACATCCCGCAAATACATCTCAGTAGAATTGTCAATATCCACACCTTCTTTCAAAAACGTCTTCACCTCCGGTGTTACCATTCCCTCTGCCAAACTGCCTTGGTCTGTAATGACGACCAAGGTCAAACACTGTGTCAGCGGTTGTGAATTCTGTAGTAAGCAGCGAAAGAAAATGTCGATGTGCAATGCACACAAATTCCAGAACCCACATTGAACTAGAAAAAAGTGTTGCACAAAAGAACGTACCGAGAGGAATTTTGCCTCCCTTCACGCTGATAATGTCCACATGAGCTCCTGCCTCCTTGAAAGCATAGTAAGGGGCAATCAATTCTTCAGCCCTGTCACACGAGGAGGAAACACTTTAGACCATTGTTGGATACTGTATACTTAAGCGAATTACGCCGTGTTAAAACTTCGATGATGACAATCCAACTACCATTTATATCCTCAGGTTGGTACATCAATGCAGACGTCTTACCATAGACCGGTTGGACCTCCACCAAGCAGCTGGTCGTGAGAAGTGGAGAGGATAAGAATACGCTTGCCGGCCATTTGATCTGGACAAGAGATCAGTGAGAATAAGTCCACGACCGATAGATGCATATAATCTCCACAGACTGATAGTAGAGTATGTGATAAGCACGCAGCATGTAGTGAAAAATTAGCGCCAAATTTTTCACGAAAAGCGATTTTAAATCCCCCACTGATCTATCCTCCCTCATTCCAAGTTTTGGATGTCAAACCTTAATTGGAGGATCTTCCTCGAGAGTCAAGGCAGCACTAAAGATTCTGCCCTTTCGTATTTCCAGATACGTAATAGTTGTAACTCCTGGTTATCTGCAACGAGCAATTCAGATATCATCAATTACAAAACATTCCGAAAGTAGCATGGAAACCCAATCTCAGGGAAACTAGACAAAGCACAGAATGACAGACAGCGCAGACTCAGGTAACATTTTTTAGCCAAAAGTCGTAAGGTAGTGTCTCATCGAGGACCAAAACGCGAGATACACTTGCCAGATGCACTGGAACAGCCAATGTTTACAAACCTACGATACAATAACAGCAAAATATACTCATGTCCCGCGAGAATTAAGTCGGATTGTATGACAGTCCAAGCAGGACCGATCCGACCGTTCTATGCAGCAGGAGGCCGTACATGGATGCGGACGAGAGACTTTGCTCCAGAGCAAGTCCAACGGACAACCGGGAAATTCAGTCCACATACAGCAAACAGAAAAACCTCATCGCTCTACAGAAAATCCTGATCTTTCTTACAGATTGTTTATCCGATACACGAGCCATAAAGGTAGCACCTCAATCATCGATCAGAGCAAGATGTTATTGGCAACTGATTCGACAATGGGTGAGTACTCGCCCCTTGTCGTTCTAAAAAACGAGCGTATTGACCAGCTTTACATTCTAACATCGACTCCCTACACGCAGAGGCAAGTACTGGCATTCACATCCTCGATTAGCACCTGAACGCAGAGAACGAGCTGACCATGTAAACACCAGGAAACTGCGAGCAACAGCCACAACCCTAGCTAGATGCGAGGAACGTGAAGCCTAGAGCCCACAGAAGAAGAGAAATTACTTGATCAAATCGCTGCGCTCGACATCATCAGCACGATCCGCGATGAGGGTCAGATTATATGAACCGATTTCGGTCGATGAAACGCCGAAGGAGGGCCGTGTCTGCGTGCGGAGGTCGGAGGGCGTAGCAGCTGAAGACGAGGAGTAGGAACACGCAGCGGAAGGTTCTTCGGGCAAGATGCTTTTGTCATCTCGTGATGTGGATGACTGAGATGAGGACATATGTCGAGGCCTGGAGCGCTTGACACGTCCGTCCTATCGGCGATTGTCAATGTCGTTGACAAAGTTCTCAATCTTCCGGCGCCGCTTCTTTTTGCGATACCGACGAAGCCTTTGCCCGCGAAAGTCGGCCTTGTCGATAAAACAAGATGAAAGTATGTTCTCCGCATCGTTATTGTACTATCGGTTTCACGGACTTTCCTTGGAATCAAATCTTCTAGCTCTTGAAAATGTTTTATAATTATAATCATTAACCAGTTTGAAATAAGATGATGCATAAATTACATGTATGATTGTACATAGAACATGATAAATCATAGAAACTTTTTAAATTAATATTGACTAAATTAATGAATTGTGATAATTAATATGTGAGGTACAATACCCAAAAAAATTTATACCGATAATCATTGTATCAAACATAGATTTGACATAAATTTTTCTATATTTGAACAACTAAACAATAAAAAAATATTCCAAAATTGTATTCTGAACAAGTTTGCTATAATGTTGATTTTGTAATTGATTTTCCGTATGGCAACAAGCATCTCATGGTAAACAATGTCTTGCTGCAACAAACTTGCATACCGCAATGCTTCAATTGTTTTTACAAGATTGTATTCTTGACTGTCATTTGCCTCCATTTCATAATCTGGCACAGGATTGGTGGAGAGATCTTGCACAATTTACTCCTTAGTTGAAACATAAGCAATTTTGAGCTTAGCAGTATAGTCAATGAGATTGCCAATATCCATTGGATTACGGTACCGAAGCTTTTGAACTTGCTCTTTGAGGTCCTTGATCACCTAAGTGTCAATAAGCAACTCTTTGCGGACCGAAGTCACATCAGCATCGGTGGTGCAAATTCGGAAATGGCATAAACAATTGCGGATTGTTTTTTGCTTCACATGCATGCTCCAAGCTACAACAGCAATGCGCATAGTCTCAGGGTCTGCTACTTTGTCCTGAAGGCGTTGAATGAAGAGACAAATGAAGAGACAAATGCGTCAATAGTAAGCCTAGAGGCTTCGGATAATTCCTGCGTCGCAAGGTTGAATCTTCGAGGTCATGTTTGGTGGCAAATAGAACACGGTTGTGTTGCGGAGTGTAACAACAGATGCGAGCATCATTAAGGAGATATGCACGCAACAATTGTGCATAATCAAAAGAATATTACGCCCTTCCATCCGCGCATGAAACCCTTTCAGCCACTCGAAAAAGATGACTTGTGTCATCTAGACCTTTGAGTTGCTTTGGAACTTGCATCCGCAGTGATCTAGTTTGACATTTTTGAAACAGCGAGGATTTTTATATTTGCCAATGACAAGAAGTGACAACTTGTTCGAGCCATCAGCATTGCAGCACACAGTCAGCGTGAGACGCTTCTTGTTTTGTTTGCGTACTTCAAGCTGCCTTGAGGCCAAGGAATTGTTTGTGTGTTGAGATGTCATATGTTAGTGAAAGTAAGTCGATGGTTTGGCAGTGAGCGTACAATATCATCTTGCTTTTACCAACATTCTATGAAACAATCCAGTTTCATCCATGTTATAGATGTCACGTCGCTCATATTGTTCTAGAGTTGAACGAATCTGCGACAAGCTCTCTTCAATCAGAGTCATGTTGACGGATCCAGACTACCCAAAGCGGCAATAGTGTATAATGTCGTGGAGATTTTTGAATGATTCTGGCCATTCATTTGAGAACTCTCAAAGATTCCGTAGCCAGGGTAGAGCTTGGCAAGTAAATATGCAACCTTATATTTAATGAGATCATCAAAGATATTGCCTTGATCCTGGTATGTGAGTAACCATCGGTACTTAGCTGTCTCCATTACTGGATATTTCACTGTCTGCTGTCACTTTGCCGCTCAATTCACATCCTCCTTCTTCTTCGCAAGGATTTCAGCTGAGAGTTTGAACGTGAGAGAAATTGTTCCCTGACTTACGAAAACGTTAGGCGTATCCTAAAGCCACTTGATCAAATCTACTTGCGTGAGCGATGGATGCTTTTGCTTGTGCTCACAAACAGCTATCTGAACCTCGTTGGTCATGTATGTGTGGACCTTTTTGAAGCCATTGTGTTATGCATGTGGTTGTGGCTACTATCACAGGTGAACGTTACGTCTCGCAAATGTTACAAATGACACAACACATTACCTATCTTTATCAATATCTTGTCTAAATTAATACAAAACCCCCGATCCCTGCAGTATTAACTTAGACAGGTTCTACTGAACATAAATTTATGCAATCGTTTTTATGCTAAATTTACAAAGGATTTTTTTTAAAATGTTGTTATCTCATTTATGCCTGGATTAAATATGATCTCAATATATTTTGTTTAAAATTTTGATGTTTTCATAAACATATATATTTAGGTCCAATTTTAAGTTTTCAAATAATATTTTTATTTAAGTGAATTTAGTTATATATATTTAAAGAATAAAAAAAACGCAAAACAATTGAACTAAATAGAACAATGAAAAATATGATTAATGTAAAAATTTGATACGTTTTAAAAAAAAATAAGTCTATAAATGTAATCACATAAAAATGTTTATATTAGTATGTTATCTAAAGTAATTTAATTCAATCTCATCAAGAAAAATTAATTTATGTGAATTTTAGTTAAACAATATTGAATAATATATATCAGTGATATAATTGGTTTATGAACAACAATTATTGTGACTGCATGACTTTTTTTTTATCCAAATTTTGATAAAAATTTTGAAAACAAATATTTTTCCAATCTCAAGTTGAAAAAATTAAAGTCTATACTAAAGATATAAGGAAAAAACATTACAATTACATCACAATATTACATAAAATATGAGAATTAAACACCAAGTGAATACCATACATACTTTAAACTTAAAATCTTAGAAAGCAAATCGAAGACATATTTAACTACTAGCGCACTTCTATGAACATGTATCAGATCTTTGTGCTCTTTGCTTATGAGAATTATTTGATCTAATGAGTATCAATGCTCCTGTCAAAAAACATGCTGCCGAATCTTTTGAATAAATTTGGTTGCATATAGCTTGACGAGCTCATGTGATAAAATCTAGAATATAAAACTAAAATCATTACAATGTTGTGTCAAGTTCAATAAGCACATATTTCATGAATTTGATAACAAGCGGTGACATTATCGTCAAAAATCATTTTGATCACTTTCATTGGCTTCGATAAGTAAAATTTTAATCTAGGAAGTTAGACCAATGAAAAATTTGCAGACACTTGACAGAGCAACTACATAATGATCATTGATGATATGAGTCAATATTTGCAGTGGATTTTGCATTGAACGTTCCACTCACTCCAAAATCGGTAATGAGTAATGTGATGAGGTTATCATGGCACTTTGCTGCTGAAGCACAAAAGTAGTTTATCTTTCAAAAAACACAAAAAGTGACAATTGCTAAAATTATGATATGATGCATAAAATTTAATGCAACCCATCAAATGTGAGTTCAAGTGAAAGCTCACTGCTGTGATTTGATATAAACAAGCAACTATGTCCGAAGGATTGTAAACCAAGTGTTGATCTTCTTCGTTGAAATTCAGCGATTGACAACAAGAGATTATGTAGTTTGCATTTCCGCGATAAAATTTTGTGTTAAATGAATAATAAATCCAGTCATGACTGAAAAGAATTGTTTTTTGATGACAATGTTCATAATCTTATCCATTCTTCATATCAAGATCTAATTGATGCAATCCACATTAAATACGAATCAAAGAACGATAGTTATGGTACTGTCATTGAGGCAAGTTTTAACGCAAATCACTCATCTTGTTATATTGCGGACTTCCTCAGACATCAAGCCAAAAAGACAAATTGTCTAATCTAGAAAGAACATTGCTAAGATTTTGCTCACCATCATGGACATGATATCACATGTATGACAATCAAACATTGGAAGCGCGCAACCATGCATGTTAACAACAGAAATGATAGTTGAGATTAAAAAAATGTATATTGAGAAATGAAGTGGTATGACGGGTCGTTGAGTCCAATGCCAATGAAAAGGTTAAAAAACGGCCTAGAAGGTTAACAATTTGTTGCAGATTGACAACGCATATAAACCAAACCAAATTGTTGATTTCATCACTAAAATAGATATAAATCAAAATTTGGCCAAAACAATATACGTGCAACCAATGATTTCAAAAATCATATGAAATTATGTTTTGCAAGACATGTAACACGTGGTCAAGCATAATGATGGAGTTTTTGAACGCAATTCGAACGTCATAAAAAATGACAGACGCTGAACACGATTCAAGAGTCTGATACAAAGCTCATTGACTATGTAATTGATTGCAAAGATGGTTTTCAATATTATCTTAATGAAAGGGATGGCTTGAACAATACATGTAGCTTTAAGAATCGTTGACATGACATGGTATAATTGTTGACATGGTAAAAATTTAGTGTTTTGACACTTAACATTAAGTTTTGAATCAACTTTCTCTTTTCCACCAAATACAATGCAAAAATACATTGAAGATCAATTACTTTCTACGACTTGGCATCCCAATGCACAAACTCAAAATTATAATCGTCATCATGAACTTTAACATATCATGATAAATGTTTTTTGGACATTGCATAGAGTAATAGCGGCCACAAAACTTTACTCTTTGTTGTGATTTGTTACTTGTCTTACATAAAAATTTGTCCATTTTGAAATAAATCATATGAGAATTAAGATTTTTTCAATTCTCATATGAGAAACATCTAACTCATCAAATCAATGAAGTTTTATTAACAAAGCATGACTGGATTCTTGAATTAAAAAAAAAAAGACAATCTATCTCAAGAAAAAAAATGCTACTCAATACACTTTTGTTAACGATGACTATCTTGTAGATCATGATTTTGTGTTATAGCTTTTGTCATCCATATCT